GTGCCTTGGAGTCATCTTGAAGTTGACTGCTGTTACCTTTGACAGCTTCGTATACGTTCCTTACAATCATTGAAGGTCTTCCAAACCTTTGACGTAATATGCTCATAGCCTAATCGTAGCCCTCTTTCGGCTTCATAAACGTACAGCACTGTATAGCTCTTGCAGCAATTCCAGTGCAATACCTCATCAAATACATTAACTTCATTTCATCACTTAATAGAAAACTACTCAACATGATCTCAAACTCCTTTACAAATTGTAAATAATCAGCTGGGTTTCCATCAAAACACCGTGGTTCAAATTTAGGGAGTTTGATGTTCCTATTATCCCTGAACGGCGAAACAGTAACATCAACCATGTCATGCTTAACATCAGACACATCGTTACAATTAACAGACAAGTCACAATGACTTACTTTCCTGTTTGCATCCAAGACGCTCTGTCCCTTCTTTGACCCAGGCATTGTTGAACTTGACCCAATTTCAAATCTTTCTAGATATTGCTTGTTCAGAGAGGACTTGACCTGCACCAGGAAAAATGAACGGCGACTATCCGAACTTTCACCAACTGTTTCAATCCGCCAGATCTGTTTCTATCTTCAGAAACTGTCAGTCACGTCTCGTAAACCGTTATTGCCCAGCTCTTTGTACGCTCGGGCCCACACTGTTCCTTGAAGATTTCAGAAACGTTTAGTTATAAGGGACTAAATATCCAAAACACCGATTGGCCGCTTCAGATTTCTTTATTGTTACACCAACATATAAAATTAATAACTGAACTAAGGTCTGTGAACAAATATTACAATAATAAATCATTGTATTACTTCTGACGATGTTTCACTCTTCTTTCTGAACAGCGACCGATGAGACGATGACTGTCGTATTGATGCCTCCGTGAAAACTGAGGAAGTTGACTTTGAGCAAACAACCAAGAATTGATCGTTAAATCTTCAACTCCATTGACACAAAGATTAGTTGCAAACAATGGGAAAAATTGTAGACTATGATCAAATATATGTATGACATGGAGTTTTCTGACTGTGGTTTCCAAGAGAAGGGTCATTCTGTAAAATACGTATACGCAGTAAAATTGTTGAGAAGTCCTGTGCATAAGATAATTGGCTGTCAGCCACGTCTCGTAAACCGTCAATGCCCAGCTCTCGCTACGCTGCGACTCACGCTGTTCCTTGAAGTTTTATTTTTTTATTTTTGATTTACAGCTTGATTCCACACTGTATTTTTGGTACAAGTGTGGTATTTTAAGCGTGGATATCGGTAGGCCAAATTTTGCAGGCCGACCATAGATATCAGGTGTGCGCCGGCGTGGGCTCGAACCCCGGACCATGTGCATGGTCGTCGAGATTCCTAACCACTGTGCCACCGACGCACACAAACGCTTAGTAGTAACGGGCGCAAAACCAAAACACCGATTGGCCACTCGAGAATTCTTTATTGTAACACCAACATATAGCCAATGTACAACTAAGCTCTAAAACTAAGGTCTATGAATAAATATTACAATAATAAATCACAATATTACTTCTGACGGTTTTGTCCTGACCTCTTTCTGAACAGCGACCGATGAGATGATGACTGGTGTATTGATGCCTCCGCGAAAATTGGGGAAGTTGGTTTTGAGCAAACAACCATGAATTGATCGTTCAATCTTCAGCTGCATTAAGAGTACTCGAGAAAATGAATTGTGGCACAGTGAGATGTTTAGAATCTAATAAGAATAATGTGTATTTTTACATAGACATGTAAATTTACATGAGAATTCATGCCATTTTTACAGGCAACATCAGGTGTGATATAATGTCAGATCGTATTTTGTCTACAATTTAATAATTTTTCAACAGATATATGTTTGATACATATATATATAAATACACTCATTGTCTGAACCAGGCCGTATTGTTATTGAATTGTACCGTTGTCCTCCACGTTGTGCAGGAAATCGACTTCGTTTCCTTTTAGTTGTAGGCATACTATAACCAACCAATATTGAGGTAAATACAACTTTTACAAGGGATTGAAAGCTATTTTAGAAAAGTAAATGTGCTAAGGTGAATCAATAAAGTGCAATGAAATAGGTAAGTGCAAGTATCATTAATAAATGCATTGATAAAGGAAACTCCCTAGTCTGACAATGTTGATTTGCAATGTATAATGCTACCCATATAGGTCTTACAATCGCGATGTCCACTTTTGATTTCAATACATTTATCCTCATGCCGGTTTTTTATTTTATACCTTTTTGTGCATTTGGTGCACAACCGTACCCTACAGAGAATAGGAATAAAATAAGTCTAATCGAATTTATAAAGAGCTATAAAATGTCAGGTTTAATGGAATATAATGGGGATCGAGTAAAGACGTTATTAGAAAATAAATGAGGTGCGACATCGTGAAGTGGTATTCAAAGATCTAACGATGGATAGCAAGTTAATTTATAAGATGCCCCATAAATCTGTGCAGATTCCACTTGGTCGCATCTCAACAATAGGCTGAGCGAATGGTATATATATAAAGGTAGAAGCATGATCTGTCCAGGCGTTCATTATTATCTTTTTCAAGATAAAGATCTAAGCCCTCATAAATATAATGGAAATCTCGAACCGTCAAACTGCATATTGCTGTTCCTGCAGAATGATGGGATTCACCTTAGTGACCGCCACCATATCTACTGAGCAGCTAGCGCTACCCTCCCTCCTTTATCTAATTATATCTTCATCGTTCATATGTGGAGTGAATTTATCAGTAGTCTGTTTAGAGCGCTTTCCGTGAGACAAACTTTAAGGAAACGGTTCATATGGTAGCACCAGATTGACAGTATTGTTATAAATTAGGACTTTGTTTCTTGTGCCGTTGATTTCCTCATTGATTTCGAAATAGTAAAAACCTGCCTTGCTTTACCGATCCCGACTGGCTTCGACATCCTCATTATCATCACCTGTAGTTAAAAGGATGCTGAATTTCCAGGTTTATTCTGTCGGTTGTGGATTTCCTTTTTTGTGGAAGATAAGATATTTTCACCTCTGTTTGCATACCTTAACTTCTAATTTCGCAGTTTCTTCTGATATACTTCTTGCCTTTCTTTTGTTAGTCTTTCTCTCTTTGCCTTCATTCAACTCATCCAATTTTCTCAGTTATAAAATCAGATATTTTAAGTTGATTTCCATGCTCCTCCTGATCACATTTGTAAACCGTTTAGAACAACCATTTTATAACTATATTCTAATCCTGTGTAGTTTTTGTTTCTATGCCTCTTTTAATCTAGATTCACACCTCCAAACTTAAATTTCAAGTAGAAAATTTTGACTTCATTTTGTTTCCATGCTTATCTTGTTCACACCTGTGATTCGTTCTATCCCTGCGTCTCTAAGCCTCTTGTAGTTCATATCAAGTAAAAAACAATTATCACCTTTTATTCTCCTTTAAAATTATTTCTCCAGTTATCGAATATTAATTTTGCATACGTTGTAACCATTTTCTAATCCTATGCAATCTTGTCTCTAAGCCCCCTGTAATTTATATTTGTACCTTCATACTTTCATACCAAGTTGAAAATTATTGTCGCCTTCAATACTATGTGGAATTAAACAAATAAGAATTGTATCCATGTAAACTAATCTATTTAAATGTGATTGTACAGCTTTTGAGAATGAAATCGTCGAAAAGCTATCTTTACTGAACTTCATGTTCTTTTCAATCTAATGTTCCAATGGATATTTTTTTCTACGATTTGTTGGTCTTTTCGCAACATGAAATGCAGATCATTCATGAAGTCAATATCTTTTTATTAGATCAGATTATGACAGTTGTCTCATCCCCTGAGTTCTGCTGCAGGAATCAGTTCAGCACATATACCAAGATAGTCGCTGAGCATAAGCAGAGATGTACAACTTGTGTCTTCAATTCAAACGCCTCTGTGAACTTTCGGTTGTGAAAGTGACGACACTGATCTCGGTCTGTTGTGGCATCAGGGATGTGAACTACTGTAAATACCTAAAGAGGTCAAGATATTTCTTCACACTCAGTGGTTTTCAGTTGGCGTTCGTTTGTCTCGAGACGCACCTAAAAATCACCCAAGGCTTCACATCTCCATCTAACATTAATCTGTATGGTGAATCACTCAACTCTTTGTGCAAGTGGTTGACGAATGATGCTTAAGCCCTCACTTTGCAGTGAGTGGTAGATGAGTGTAACAGTAGACACTAGCAGCAGTAAGTATAAGCTTAGACCAATCAGCATGTCGTATTAAACTACCAGTAAAAGAGGTGTGGTTGCAGAAGTTTACCGAGGACCAGGAACCTTAACCCTAGAAACAGAAGGCTAGTACGAAGAAACCATTTTGGTTTGCACTAGCCCATAAAAAGGATATCAGATTTTAGCAACTACGATTATGTCATCGGTTTTGTATTTTCTAACAGAGCCAACTGTAAACTAGTCCATTATCTAATTGCACACAGTAATTCCACCGATTATGAATAAGAGCTCCACTAATCCCTACATAAATATACCTAGCACCGATGAAATTTTTTTTTGATTTTTGAGTTTTGATTTACAGCTTGATTCCACACTGTATTTTTGGTAGAAGTATGGGATTTTCAGCATGGATATCGGTAGCCCAAATTTTGCAGGCCAACCATAGATATCAGGTGTGCGCCGGCGTGGGCTCGAACCCCGGACCATGTGCATGGTCGGCGAGAGTCCTAACCACTGTGCCACCGACGCACTTTACTGAGTGACGATAGGGTTTACGAACCCCAGTATTAGTAATACCGCCTGCTGAGTCCTCAGCACTCGAAAAACCAGTGATTTAGGTCTACATGTATAACTTGTCTTCTAATGTGCTTTTTTGATTTAAAAACTAAATAGAAATATGAAATCTTTCTGTAGGGCGTGAAAAAACTGCACAAAACTTCTGAAAAACTTCTGCTTATTTTCTAAAACTCCATTCGTTTAATCGTTTAACTTCTTCAAAATTCAAGGACTAAGGGTGCAGTCACATATCTAGGTCATCGTTATGGCATCGACCTTAGGTCACGTTAGCCTGGAGCTTAGGATGTCATTGGCTGTTGTGTAGGTCATCATTAGGCTCTCAAGGTTGCGGGCTTACAGTTTGTCCGCACCTGGCCCAGCTGAGAATTTGGCCATGGCATCTGTCGACAGTGGGGACGTAGGGAACATAGATGCCCTTCTGAGAGCCGCAGAAATATTAGAGAAGAAACTGTACAGTAAAGGTATTCATTAAGGATTTTCTAAATTATTTGTTATAAAGGTGGCTATGACACAGCTGACGCACTCCGTAATATTAGTGTGAGCCAGTTTGTCGACTGGCTAAATTCTGGTGAACAAACGGATGCTGAAACAACTCTGGATAATAATATGTAGGTTGTATCTCAGGACTTTATTGTTTTTAGTGCTTCAACTATCCAAGTAGAGCTTGCGAATCTCATTCAAATGTCAGGATGCCAAAAAGTCAGTGATTTCCCAACAGCATTTGGATCTGGTCACAATGCAAATGTAAGTATGTTTTAAAGAATGTTTGATAAATAATTAGTTTCTACATAACTGAGACTTATATATCCATTGTCTCAGTGGTGCTTTGTCACCACTTTAAAGAGTTCCGGTATAAAATTTATGAAGATTTACCCCAAAAGTTGGTTTTTAAAGTGTACCTAGTTTATCAGGTGTAGAGCCTTCAGTAAAATCGCCAAATCATACGTGGGCTACATGATATGTTATGCTTAGCAGTGTGACAGAAAGTTCACATGGGCCGGACTTAACATCGAGATCCATTCTAAGCGACCCATCTCATTCATGAAACACGGTTTAAATAACAATAGTCTACATAGACTAAAAGCAAACTGAAACTTGCAAGCCATCTCTAAGGAAAACTGATTCTGCAGGAATTAATACGGGCTGTTCAACTTACTGAAATACTACTTAGTGCTGAATATGTAGACGGATTCATGTTGAATATTAAACCAGATATTTCCTTTTTATTACCATTTACTCATCACCTTTTTGACGAATAGAGACAATATTGCAGGCTTCCGTCATATCTTTTTGTCTTTCCCATCAGGCTGTGACAGCTTAAATTGATTTGAAAAACTGTATTGTAGTGTATCAAGCTCGTGCCATCTAATTCGATACTTTATGCCTAAAAGCTGTCAACAGGGGACCTGGCGTTACACTGTTTTGTTCCAAGATGTCGTTCATTATAGTTTCATATCAAAGCAGGTGGCTGACTTATTAAATATACGTAGAGCTTTGTACAGAGATGTATCATTACACGCTGTTACAGTTCAGAGAAGCAGAAGAAACACGATACTACTACAGAAATTTGGGTATGTAGAAAAGAATAATCAAATGTTAACTAGTGTGTGAGTTTTCAGAGTTCGGAATGTGATGAAAAGTGAACATATTGCTCCATTTTCAACAATTTTTAGCCTTGTCACAGTATGGATATTTATCCTTCTCATCCTAAGGTCTTCAGCAAAGCAACTTCCATCAAACTATCTTGCATTGTCTTGAGACGATAATGAAGTAGGAGTCAGGTTGTAATGCCACACTCAGGGTCACGTGTTCACTTCTTATTCTTGATCACAGATTGATTCCACACTGTATTTTTGGTAAAAGTATGGGATTTTCAGCATGGATATCGGTAGCCCAAATTTTTCAGGCCGACCATAGATATCAGGTGTGCGTCGGCAGGGGATCGAACCTCGGACTATATGCCTGGTCGGCGAGTCCTAACCACTGTGCCACCAGATTCTGAAAATCTTCATTAATCCCCATTTCCATTTTCTCTTCGCCATACTCGTCTCTGTCTGTAGTATCAGTAAGTTTCAGCTGAAGCCACGTGAGCTGATGCACCTGTGTGCGAAACCCTGAATTTATTTGTTGGTCAGTTGGTTCATCACCATAAAGCAAAATACTAATTTTAGGTTGTATTACGAATCATAATTTGGAAACCTACATTCTTTACATGATCAAGATCAGAATCCCTGTTCATGTAACCTTATTGTTTTCTACCTTGGGCTAACGTACACCGAGGTAATTTATCAGCAGGTAGTGGTAGCTAAATACACTCATATATACAAGCGTATTATTTTAATAGGTGATCACACTGTATCGTTTCCTGAGTGTTAGAAATACTACCATTAATGAATTAAGTAGTTAAAAGACAAGCGATCTGTTCACTTTCGTTCAGAGATAACATTAGTGAGGTTTTCTAGACAGGTGAAGTCGGTCATTTCAGTCTCTTTTTTGGGGTGATGCATCGGAAAATCTGCCAGACTAGTACAGTGCTTCAAAGTCAATTACAAGACGTAAAAATTCAAAAGATGTTAGATCAAAATAGTAGGATTCAATCTGACAAGGTAAAATATAATAATCTTTTTAAGTAATTATTCATCAGTAGCATTTTCTGAGACTTAAGATCCCACGTCGTACGTAGCGCCTACTTGGACAACTGTTTTGTCTAGTCGTTAAATTTTAAAATGATGTAGGTAATTGTATTCTTACTGGGATTATGTACGATAGTGCAGATTCTTTGTTTGAAATGTAGCATATTGGCTGTAATAAATGTGTTCTGTATGTTGTTCCAAGATTAAAAGTGTATTTGTTCACCGGAAATATTTTCTCCAGTTTACACTCTTCGAAAACAACTCAGCTCACTTTCATTGTCTCATTTTATTTTTCCTATATATTCTGTTATGCATGGATATTCCATCAGTAAAGACTTACCATTCAGCGAGAAACCCTTTCTTATTTCAGTTAGAGCATTGTAAAAGATCACATGCAAAAGTGTTACCGATTCCAATATCTAGACTTATTTTGGAATTCTGTAAAACTGTACCTTTCGGAGTGATTACTGAGGTCATAAATTAAGCGAAATAGAAAGCAGGTATTACGAAAATTCAAGACTATGTTAACGGATCACAGTAATGTGTGTGAGGATATCAAATACTTCAAGTTTATTGCACTGGCAATATATTTTTGTCGGTGCCATTCGAGTCGAAACATTTATTCATAGTAATTTGTGAACCACTTCCGTAGAAGCTGTATTCCAAACGGCTGCCTGCTAATGCTCTTTATTACAGAGTGCGTTGCATAAAATAATTTAGTACCAATTAATAAAGGAAATTTCATAGTTACTTCAGAAATACATAGAAATTTTCTCTAAATACTTTTAGAGGAGCATTTGTCAACCTGTATTGATTTTTCAGTTAGAGAAGAATGATATTCAATGTGCTCCTGGCGGATTCCTATTTCGTCATATATTTATGACACCTCGAGTCACTGAGTGACATTATCTCTCGAAATTCATTCAGCAAGTCAGTCAAGCGGGTTATTCAGTTCTCTCTTGGATACCCGAAGCCCTATGTGATATTTTTGACTTATCTATGACTATTTAGGAGAATGAATCTATTACTGATGCCGCAAAACGTTTTAGATCTTCAACAGCAAGTTAGATATCATTGTTCCTCTACACTACTAGACCAGTGGTCGAACGTGATGGCCGTAGTGGTCTGTCAGTTTAAACATTAACGTCAACTACTAGGTTATGCGTAACCATAGTTCCCAGAAAAAGACACGTAGAACTGTTTTGAACTATGTAGCATGTTTAAATTTTTTATCATACATATTCGCTTAATTATATGCAAATGATGATAGCACGTAATCCAGTGGTTCTCTAGCTTATCAGTTCGTGTGGGAATCGGTCAGATACCTGAATCATAAGAGTCGGATCTCAGTACACTGGTGTTTTGTATACTTATGGGTGGTGTTATGGCGTACTGATCCAAGTAACTTCACGCTTATCAGCACAACTAAAAGCCTAGACCATCAGCCCCAACGGGCTGATCTCTGACGAAATCTCAGCACGAATACAGGGGGCTCGTTTCGCATTTGCCAGTTTACGCCGACTCTGGCGTAGACGAGATGTTCGACTATCGACCAAAGGGCGTGTGTACTGCTCATCAGTCCGCTCCGTCCTCCTTTATGGCCAGCTGTGAGACCTGGCCACTGAGAGTGGAAGACATGAAAAGACTAGCTGTCTTTGATCATAGGTGCCTGCGTTCTATTTCCCGTGTAAAGTGGCATAATAAGGTGAGCAACATGGAGGTTAGGCGTAGAGTTCTAGGTAAACAGGCGAAATCAATCGACGAAGTCGTGAAGTTACAAAGACTGAGATGGTTAGGACATGTGTTACGTATGCCAAGCCATCGTCTCCTCGACGAGCAATGTTAGCGGATATAGGGTCAGGCTGGAAAAAAGCTAGCGGCGGTCAAACAAAAACTTGGCCGAACCAGTCAATGAAATCCACAACAGTTGGTCTAAGCCACGTAGAAAGGTGTAGACTTCCAGGCTGGGGTCCTCGGGACGGTAAAAATCTATGGTTGGAAACAATTGGTGACATGGCTCAAAATCGTTCTCAGTGGCGCAGATGCATCCACTCCTTGTGACTTATGATCTCCAATGAAACTGTTTTGTTTTTCTTTATTACTCCTTTGTCTCACACCTCTGCTCACTGTTTCTATTATGCTTTTCTTGTACTTTCTTCTCTTGCTTCGCGTGCTACACGGAGTGTGGTGACTTGAACTTCCGCACATTTGTGCAAAGTTCTATGTCGAAAACAGACAGACAGACAAACAGATTAAAAAGCAGGAAGTGATATTCTGTTACTCACCAAGTAGCGCATATACTTCTCAGCAGTGCGCCCCGTTCTGCTCTATAGGTGGAAAAATTGCCTGGTAAAAGTAAAATATATGAAAATATTAACAGGTTTTCACTGTAGCCACCTTGGTTCATTCTGCTTTAAATGCAGCAGCATGGTAGTTAGTATCGACATTAGGTGTAATAAATTAGGTAAGAAGAGTGAGTCGATGGACAAGGACTACTACTTATTACCGATTATGTCATCGGCCTTGTGTATCGTGTATCAAGCGACCGCCAAAAACAGTGTCAGCTGAATTTCTTTTAGTCTGGGAAAGAGTTAGACGAAACATGAAGTCATTCACTGTTAGTCGGAGTCACAAACGGTGGTGTGGATTGAGGTCATCGAGACGTTAAAGACCAGTCGTTAGCGTCTTTTTGACATGGTTCAGCCTCGTGTACATTAATGCAGATATCTTCACTTACTGTCAGCTTCCAGATGTTGAAAGTCTCCAATAGTCTGTATTAATTTATGTTTACTGTCTGTCTGTCTGTTTTCGACATAGAACTTTGCACAAATGTGCGGAAGTTCAAGTCGCCACATTCCGTGTAGCACGCGAAGCAAGAGAAGAAAGTACAAGAAAAGCATAATAGAAACAGTGAGCAGAGGTGTGAGACAAAGGAGTAATAAAGAAAAACAAAACAGTTTCATTGAAGATTATTAGTCACAGGGAGTGGATGCATCTGCGCCACTGAGAACGATTTTGAGCCATGTCACCAATTGTTTCCAACCATAGATTTTTACCGTCCCGAGGACCCCAGCCTGGAAGCCTACACCTTTCTACGTGGCTTAGACCAACTGTTGTGGATTTCATTGACTGGTTCGGCCAAGTTTTTGTTTGACCGCCGCTAGCTTTTTTCCAGCCTGACCCTATATCCGCTAACATTGCTCGTCGAGGAGACGATGGCTTGGCATACGTAACACATGTCCTAACCATCTCAGTCTTTGTAACTTCACGACTTCGTCGATTGATTTCGCCTGTTTACCTAGAACTCTACGCTTAACCTCCATGTTGCTCACCTTATTATGCCACTTTACACGGGAAATAGAACGCAGGCACCTATGATCAAAGACAGCTAGTCTTTTCATGTCTTCCACTCTCAGTGGCCAGGTCTCACAGCTGGCCATAAAGGAGGACGGAGCGGACTGATGAGCAGTACACACGCCCTTTGGTCGATAGTCGAACATCTCGTCTACGCCAGAGTCGGCGTAAACTGGCAAATGCGAAACGAGCCCCCTGTATTCGTGCTGAGATTTCGTCAGAGATCAGCCCGTTGGGGCTGATGGTACTTCCCAAATAAGTGAAGCGGTCAACGTGCTCTACCACTTCACTTCCTATTTTTAAACTAGGCGTCGATGTAGTCCAGTCCTGTAACATCATCTTGCATTTGGCGGGAGCGAATCGCATGCGAAACATTCGTAGATTGCGGCTCAAGGTGTTTAGAAGACTCTGAATTTCGTCAGCGCCTTCGCCTAGAAGGACTATATCGTCTGTTTATGTTTACGGTACACCCCAGCTCATTGTAGTTCTGTTGGTTTTTTCTCTGCTTCTGTATTAGCTTTTTTAAATTTGTGGCAGCTCAAATTAATGCTACTACTGCGTTTTTAAGACAGGTAAAATACTGGATCTGATGGAAGACCACAGTACACTTATTTTATTCCTCACTATTAGGACTGTGATCACTATATGCCTTCGTTCCTGTTTTCTTGTGTTGTTACAGCAGCTTGTAATAGTTTCATTTACACGCCCTCTCTTTTTCCGGGTTCATCTTCAATTTTCCATGCGAAGTGCAGTGTTACAGACAGATTTACATTTGTACACCTGTGTGTGAAGTTCTATATAGTGTGCATTTATCTTGGGGTGTTTAAAAAATAAAGTTGATAATTGCTAAATTAGCTTGACATTCATAAGTCTTCCTATGTATTCAAAACATAATTTATCTATTTTGCACAAGAAAACTTGATATTTCTCTTCTAATTTCCTTATTAGTCTTCAGAATCAATAACTCTGAGTTATCAAGATGATGATCCCGCGTTCATATATCATCCTAGTAACTGGAAGCACTGTGATGCCTCACGCCTGAGATCAGATTGTATTTCTTCAAACGTTTCGCCAAATCACTATCGCATACTTACAGCTGCCTCAGGCGTTAGCCAATTGTCAGAATCATCACTAGTGGGAGGAACAGGAGATGAACCTGATGGACTATCAAATACAAGTGGTATGCGTTAGTGTTTTTGTTAATTTGTATAACTTTGTTTGTGATGGTTTCTTAATTTGAATTTTATCACTGTTTAACTACTATGCTTATACGTCCACCTCTGTTTATCATCTATGATAAGATTAAGCTTTAGTGTGTTGTAGGGGCATGCAGAGTGTGAAACCCTACCAGGTAGTTTCCAGTTATCTCAGTATACACGACTGACAGGCATAGTGGTTAACTTGATTAGTTGTAGTGATCCCAGTTTTGCTCTGCTGAAATTGACTGTCCTTGTGGTGTGTAGTACTCTCTTGTCGGTTTATTGAATAGAATCAATGTCTTTTATCATGGGTCTCTGTTTACGTATTGATATTTTGTAATATGTTCGAAGTATTTTGATGGTAACCACACAATTGCGTGCATAATGCCTGTATTATTTGTGTTAAAATTCACATCCAAAAGCTGTCATTTATAGTTACCTCTATTTCACTATAGATGACGTTTGTATGGACAACTCAAGTCAGGATAGTTTCTCAGGCAACTTGATATCTGTTCGTCCTCCTGCAAATACGTTACACACTTTTAACTCATCTCCTGGTCCTGAATGTAGTGGTAATGTGGATGCTGTGTACTATAAATCTCGTTTAAGATCAGCTTTATTGACACCATATTCTCCTGGCTGTGAAATACATTCCAATGATACTCAGCGGCCAAGTGAATCCTCTCATAAAGATGCATCGGTTACTAATTTATTGCCTACACATCAAGGCATTACTGGAAATATTGTGTCCGGAGTGTGTTCTAGCCAAACATCCCCACAGAGACCAGAAGTCCTCAATAGAATGTCTGGAAGCGGTGATGACTCAGATCAGCAAGAAGCCAAACGCCAAACACCTGGAAGTCCTAGAAATATTACAACTCTGCAACAACAAACCTCCTGGAGTGCACCTCCGTCTGTCTCATCGAGTAGTTGTGCTACTCCAGATAAAGAGTTTTGCGATATCCCCACTCAAATTGATACTCCTCAACTTGTTTATCCAAATCGTCCATCACGATTTAGCTGTTCAAGCCTACCTGTAAAGAAACGCAAATTAGATTGGAAACAATCAAGCAGTAATTCTTCTGATCTCCAGTCACCTCACAAACATCTATTTCAATCAAAGAAAGTTCTAACTAACAGTCCATCTGATTTTACTACCACAAGTTCTACACTAACCACAACTTTAAATCAAAATTTCTTCACCTGTTCCTTGAGTAAAGACAGCATTCCAGAGAGACGGCAGTCAGTTGGCGCTCTACCTATGTCAAATATTGGTCACCAACTTCTTGCATCAAAAAATACTATCCCTCTCCTGAGAACTTGTTCCGTTCCTGTAAACAATAATCAGCAGAATTGTAAGTCTTTGGATATTTTGTTCGTATTATCTTATCTATCCCATTTTAAATTATGGATGTAAGGCCTTTACGTGTACGAGGATATCTCACCAGAAAGGTTGTTTTAATATATCTTACTGCTTAAGGTTCACTTCCTTGGAACCTCTTCATTTGTAACAGTAGTGTCTTGATCCACTTTAATTAGTAGTATGTGTCGAGGTTAACAATTGCTTGCAGTTTGAAAATACTGAGTCATGATTATTCACTTTTTTCATTTGATTGCGGTTGCGCTATATCGTGAAGTGGCAGAAGTTAGAACTCATGGGTCATTGGATCGGTTCCCAGTGGCTTAATGGTCTACGAGCTCGCCTTGTAAACAGAAGGTCCCTGGTTCGAACCCCGGTGGGTGGGTACTGCTGAAGAGTCTCAAACTAAGACGAAACAACTGTCCAGTACTCCCAGGTTTTCCAGTGGTTCTCTAACCAATGTCAGGTCATGATTAAGTCCTGTAACCAATCAGTCAAATCCCTACAAACCGATACTTGATTTCTCAATTATTCGTCATCAGCTCAGACAGAGTAAACGTAACTACCTAGTCATGCTAAAACAGGCCAATGATTCCCGATACGCCTGCAAATTCATAAGTCTACTAGTAAGGCAGGAACTGCTCTTTTCTCTCCATGTACTAACAGTGAAAAGGTGATATGGTGTTCGATGCCCAGTGTGGAAATAAACCAATTTGGATTGATCTGCATGAGTGATCGATGCACAGCTTAAGCGTGAATATAAAGAGATCTTGATATGCTACTTGAATTATCCCGTCTACGGAAGTTTTTTTGGTGACTTTTTCACCTGGTACAGAAATCTGTTAAGTGAAGTGAAACCTGTCTCTTCTTAACTGTTTTCACACTTAACTTACTATATTCACGAAGACTTGTTGTTTTGGTTCTTCGCACACCAGTATCAAGGGAAACGATAACAACGTGATTCTCCAAATCAGATAAGTTGTATCAACAAATTATCAGTATTCACCAATATTTTACTGCTTGACTCAGTATCTAACTTATGAATAAAAGGCACATTTCCGTGTCTAATATGACTGACTGGTTTCAACATAGAACTTTGCACTGATGTGCAGCAGTTCGAGTCGCTACAACTTCACTCATCACACAAAGCCAGAGAAGAAAGTAAAAAGAAACGCAAGGTAGAGACAGTAAACAGAGATATGAGGCAAAAAGAATAGTAATATCTAAGAACAATATAGTTTTATTGTGTATTATAAGTCACAAGGAGTGGATGCATCTACAGCAGCCATTGAGAACGATCACTTTGAGCCATATCACCAATTGTCTACAGCCATCGGTGTTTACCGTCCCGAGGACCCCAACTAGGCCGTCTCTAATATATCAAGTAGATATATTTTTTTAAACTATTAGTTATAATCTACCTCTATGGCAATATTGAGCCGAATACTTAATCAGCTGTCTATGCTTATACAATGACCACTTGATAATGCATACATACTTATCGACCGCTCAGATGTCATTTCGCCTGTGATGATAGTGATTCCCATGACTGCATTTCTTCTTACTTAATTCATATTTTTGTAGACAAAAACATACAGGCGTCTGTCCGTAACACTATCCATCATGTAATTATCGATTCACCCCCATTGAGATATGATTGGTTAGCCTACATTCACGTGTAAAGTATTGCTTAGACACACGTGCATGCCAAACTCATAGGTTGTTGCAATCAACGCTAAAGGATTTCTTCACAGCTGATATTTTTATTCCAATCCAATTCAAGAACTACACTCAACTTTTTTTCATCACGATTTGATACAACTGAACGATCAACTGTAGAGTGTTAAAAAGCAGCAGATTGTTATTTTATCTATCAGACTAACATCCAACTTTTAAATTGTGAAGTCAGTATTTAGAATCTGACTCCTTATAAACATTTCCCAGGGAATATTTCATCCTTATGATTTTTTAAATATATTATTATTATTACTATTATTATTTACTATTATTTTTAATTTCTAGAGGAACATAGGGCTTCAGCCGCGCGTCTCCATTGCGTTCGGTTCTCTGCTAGTGTTTTCGCCTGGCTGCAAGTCTGCCCACATGCTTTCATCTCCTCTTCACATGACCTCCATACTGCATACCTATATTGTTTGTTGGTGTCACTTAGGCATAGTCCTACGTTAGTGGTTTTTAGCCAAGCACTCTCTGTAAGAAGAACAATACTGCAATAGTTCTATAAGTAGATCCTGTATAAAAAAGTTTTCAGTTGTGTAACAAAGAATGCGTTATTATGACGTCTTTGGTTACCTTTTAATGTACCAAGGTAACACGAGTAGTTAGGTTACACATGTTTTCTTATTTACATTATTGCTTATGCCATCATTACTCACCACCGATATCCGTGTCCCTTTTGTATTAAGACTGAGAAATATCGAGCTTATATTTTTGCTGTAGTATGTATGTATACATTCGAAAATCATTACTGGATGTTCTCCGATATTCAAAGGATTGTGAGGTCGATTGTTACTTCGTGGCTGCCGTGGAAGTTGGTTGCGTGACCATACAGCCCAGGGGACAACTGCTTGAGGCCGGTCACACATGGCCTCTTTTTGTTTGTTCTTTATTGTTCGGTGTGTCTCAATAGCATATTTATCACTTCTGCCCTGTGACACGGCAGCAGGAAGCGCGATCGTTGTTAATCCGGGCCCGACTGATCCGGCATGATATTTTGTGAGTTTGTTTGTATCATAGTATTGGGTTGGGTAGCTACTTTTTGTCTAACCACTATCCAAACAACCTTTCTGGCATGGTAAGACTTCAAGAGACATAAGTCTCAGCCAGTATAGCATGTTAGGACATTGCTGTGTTCAAGCCCGACCACCACGTCAAGGTAGCAGCTTTCGGTCGTTACTACTATTCCTTTGTATCACACCTCTGCTAACTGTTTCTGTTATGCATTTCTTCTACCTTTTTCTGTTGCTTTGTGTGCTACATGGAGCGTGGCGACTTGAACTGCCGCACATATGTGTAAAGTTCTATGTCGAAAACAGACAGACAGATATTCAAAGGCAATTTCCTAGTGACACGTATATAATTTCCATTGTATCAATCCATATATTTTATCTCTGATAGATCACATACTTAAAAACTAAACATTTTTTTGTTTAATAGTGAAGTTTTTTTTCGGATCACTAATGAAAATTAAGCTCATCCAGCAGCAAAAAGTCTTTATCATCTGATAAGTGTGGTAACACCAGATTGTCGGTCAATTATTTCAATTCTCTTACCTTTGAACTTAAGTCTGAATTATAGGACTATTAAACCCAATAGTACTGACATTTTGGATACAGCTATGAAGGATATGCATGGGAATGTAGATGTGATTGCAGAAAGACTTTCTGATCTCGAGTGGGTAGACGATATCGTATCACTGTGTGATAATGCATGCAAGTATGGTATTTGCTTAGCTCCGTTTCAATACTAAGTGTTATTGATAGGTTGGCAGGAGCTTGTATCTGCGCTCACCTTCGCAGGCGAACTGTTAGAAGTGTATCTAGGTAGTTGTATGAGTGCTCGAGGTGTGATGGGCGAAAAATACAGAGTGATATACCACAATCTTGGCCACATCTGACATCATAGCGACATTAGCCTGACCGTCAAACTTAGACTTTTCAATGCTTCGGTACTCACAGGCTTACTCTGCGCCGGTGAATATGAGGGTGTACAGCAACTCTACATATTCGATCATCACAGTCTTGGTAGAATTGCTTGTATATGGTGCCATAATCATATAAGTAATTCAGAATTCCAAGCGAAGGTCGTATTTTAATATGTTGGGCCATCTTGAAATACCGGCTTCTGTGGCTTAGAAGTGTACTAAGAATGCTATTCCAATGCCTTTCATACTGTTAACTGATTGCTAACCCTGGGACTGGGTGGATAAAGCAGTACGGGGGTGTGATCAACCCATAACGTGACTCTGTAGGATGAAGGATAGTTCTACTAGGGTTAGAATCTGGAAGTGCATCACGACTCTCTTGGTGGACTCCGAGAGATAATTTGAATCAGTCGTTCGAGATATTATCAGATATCGTTGAGAAACGTAATAAGTGGTGCACGTACTGCAATTTCCTCCTTTCCTCACTTTATGGAAGTAACATAAAGTAGTGAACGCTCCCTAAATATTCTTAATCAGTAGGCTTGCCTATTTTCATAATCCTATTCCTCAATCTTTCTTCCTCTTTTCTACAAATTGTGTTTCACTGTTTTTTTTTTCTGTTTGTGTGTGTGGAGCATCTCTTAGCGCCCATAATAGTGTATCAGGTTTGTGTTTGAATGAATAAATAAAACAAACTTAATAGTATGCGCCAAAAGTACATTAATTAAAGTCATCGTAGTTTACTTATTGTCGATGTACAATCAATTTAAACTGACGTAGGAAAGTTTGTCTGATTAATGTGATACAATTCTGTGTGCATCTAGCTTGACTATCACATGAGCGTAATATTCATTAATTAAAGTAAAATTGAAGAGCTATTTTACTACGACATAAGGTTTGCAGCTCATTTAACTGAATTATTATTATTATTATTATTATTGTATCCTTTAATTCCTAGAGGAACATAGGGATTCAGCCGAACACGTCTCCATTGCATTCGGTTTTCTGCCAACCTTTTCACCCTGTTCCAAGTCTGCCCACATGCTTTCATCTCCTCTTCACATGACGTCTTCCAAGTCACCCTAACACTGACGACCAACTCGCCGCTTCCCTTTCGGGTTCCACTCGAGCGATGGCTTGTCTAGTGATGTCACTTGATGGTTTCCTCAGAGTATGGCCAATCCACCTCCAATTCTTCCTGCCTATTTGTTTCACAATCGGTTCCTGGTTGTTTCGCTCCCAGATATCTCTGTTGCTCATCTTTTCTGGCCATCTGATCTTGAGTACTGAGCGAAGATAACTGTTAATGAAGGTCTGTAGTTTGTTTGAGATGCTCCTTATGACGCGCTGGCCAAGTCTCTGATCCGTATAGTAAGTAGCACTGACTTCACATTGGAGTTGAAAATCCGGATGTAAGTTTTATGGTGAGTGCTGTTGACCTCCAAACAGACTTGACGTGAGTAATGAAAGCTTGTCTTGCTTTTCCGATTCTGGCTTTGATGTCCTCGTCAGTTCCGTCCGCCCGTAGTTGAAACGATGCATCCCAGGTAGGTGGGTAGGTGAAGGAGGTTATTTCTTTCAGGTTCCTCCCATTTATGCCGGCTGATTGTTGGTGTTGGCAGGAATCTTCATCACCTCTGTTTTATCTATGTTCACCTGAAGTCTTATCTTTGATGCTTCTTCTGCCAGCTTGTTGCTTTTCATTTGAATATCTTCCAGTTTGTGAGAAATCAGACATATGTCATCATCGGCGAAGTCCATATCCTCCAAGTTTTTTGTGTGAGTCCATTTTATGCCTGTTTCCTCATTGCCGGTTGTCTGTCGCATTATTCAATCTACTGCAATCAGGAAGAATACCATCAGTGAATTGACACTTCTGATTCTAAACTTGTCACTAGTTAAGATAATTCTTTTTTAACGTCTTTCACTATTCCCCTTATTCTCTAGTGTTACAATGACAAATATTTTGACAACCGGAAAGTAACACGTTAGATTCTTTGTTGTTGTTGTTAAGTAACTTCATTTTACATTTTATGGGTACAATTTACTGTGGATTGTTTCATTACTTTTCTTCTCTACAGTTGATTCTTCTTCAAAAGCTCTGGATTCTTTGGAGTTTCACAGTCACCATCCACTTGAAGAGAAAAAAATATCGTCAAAAACTCACTATCAGAACCATTTTTCTGTACTAGCTCGTACACTGACTGGTTCAGATAATGATACTACTTCTATGCATTTGAAGCAGTATTCTTCTGAATCAGTAGCACTGCACAATAGTTCAGATTGCTTGAAAATCGGGAAAGATAATACTTTTCAAGAAAATAAAAAACATCTCTCTCTAGCAAATGTTAGTCTGCATAATACTACCAATTATTATGACAATATCTCTAATAAAGCGGAAGGCATCTACACTTCTGAATTTCAAGACTCATCCTCTGCAATTGCCTCAGGAAAAACGCAGACAACTGATTTGTTGTTTCGTCCACCACGTAATACCTGGAAACATCGTCATAATATTCTTAATAATCAGTTATTTTCGACGTCGTCATCATCATCATCACCATCATCTGTGATTAGTGATACAGTCATTAACACAACCAAAGCACCTCCATTTTATACTTCAGATTGTTATCAGAAACAAGATTGCCTATCCAGAATACTGACTACTAAGAATTCAGATACATCTTTATCCGATCATTATCACCAATATACTAACAGGTCTAATGGATCGCCGATGGAGCGTAAACAAGGTGGTCTGATACAGAATATATCCTACGGTGAATATTTACCACAATTATTGAGCACACATACAACCAAAGAAGATAGTTTATGTACTGTGGATACATTTAACCGTAAACGTCCCAATGGCATAGACGAGGTTTCATTGAAAGCAGATGCTGCCTATTCCACATTTCAAAGTTACAGTAGAAACCAACCATATCAAAAGTCATCTAGTGTAGTTATTCATCCTAAAACGCCTGAGTCTTCTGTGGCTACTATTACTACTACTACCAACACTGTTGTTAAGCCGTATTATAATAATTCTGTAAGTAATATTTTCTCTATGTTCGTGTATGGCTGAATGGTCGTGATTATTCTTTAGTATTTTTGTGTAATGCTCAAAATGTGAATCTTAAATTATCATATATTTTAGTTTATCTAAGTAGTCATATGTAGTAGTAATTCATGTTCTGCCCTCGGACAGAATGAATACTTAGCAGTGTGGGAATTCTAAGATAATGGTAGATGGAATGAGTTTTGAACATATGATTCACTTGAACAACATTAGTCTTCGATGCATCTGTATCTCTAATAGTTTATAATTCTGTTGTTATTGTTTTAAGGTGAATCTAAGGCAGAGGGGTAAATGTGGAGCGTAAAGTTTTCATAGCTGTTGTGTAGAAACGCGATCATGTGTCCTGAGGGTCGAGTACAAACTACAAATACGAGTATGTTATGATAATTGGCATAAGTTTTTTTACGAACTGTAGACTTCCTGATTAATGTTACGAAGATGGTACAAGTGAATGCTCGGAGACATTAAAACCCTTCGAGTTTTATTTTATTAACACGATTGTATGCATAATTCATATTCCCCTCGACACTTTGTGTTCTTTCATAGAGTAAATCACGCATTAGCATGAATAAAGCTGTTAAAGATCTGTCGATATACTTGTTTCTCCAAATTTATATACACTAATAATCAGCGTCTTAAGACATAAATGTTCTCGTCTTTGCTATCGTACACATAATTGAACTTTCCCGTTGAATAATTGAACCAAAGTGCTCGATCTCAGTTTGCACAAGAGGTGGCTCGTGGCCCTCAAGTGGTCTAGTGGATAGCGGTTTAGCGTCTGAAACTATGGGTAGTCGGTTCGAGCCTCAGTGGGAACACCATCACTCACTTGAAACTGTAGATACACCTAGTAGCTGACGAGTCCCAAATGGGACGAAATGCGCATCCTGGATTCCACTGCTAGCCGCCATTCACCAATTTACTGTAAGCAAGTGTGTTGAAATCTCTTCTAGTATAGTTTTGAATGCAGTCCTGAGTTGTGTATTCTCCGTAGATGTTCACAAGAGTTAATTTCGACAGACGGTCGTCACAAGATATTGTTTGGACTTATACTTTGTGTGATTTCTTTCAAGTTCGTAGGTATGCATGAAAGGGTTGTTTATCAATTTCGTTCATGAAATTGAATTAAATTAAATAGCAAGTTTTTGGATACTAAAGGGAAACAAATTGATCCCTCTAACATACAGGTAGATGTGGCTGTCAAAAGAGTCGTTCGTTCTTATCTCACATAGGACCTGGTGTTTAATGATTATGTCAAATAAAGTCTATCCATCGTATTAAATGGCATAGGCACAAAAATGTGGGCTATTTTATTATTATTGTGTACATTTTCGTCATCAATTTCATGACTTCACTGAACGTCTCCATAGTAAACATGGCGTTCAAGTGACTACGAATTGCTGTAATGAGGTTAAATTACCTAATTTTTAACTGTTGTCTTGATAATTTACACCAGTATGGTTTGCTATAACCCTTTTTAAGATGCAGCTTCCATTATCATCTTTATTTCTGTTTTGACAGGTTATTCAGATGGATGTCAGGAGTGACAGTAAACTTGTTCCTGCAAATTCTAGTCCTATTGCAATAGACTCTGGAGTAGTCAGTAAAGAACCAATGAATCATTTGAAGCCTGCATCTGTAGAATCTTCTTATAAGACGTTACCTGTCACCTTATCATCACCGTCATCTATTTTATCGAATCAAATGAATGTAAATGGTGCGCATGTTATTATGATGCTGTCACCATCAAATACAGTTCCTACATCTCTCCTTTCTTCAGTTTCAAATCAGATGATGTCATCGTCTTCATCCATAGCAGATACTAAGCAAACACCAAGCAGTTGCACAGGCAAAAAGCAGTTAATTGACTCTTCACACATTCAAAACTTAAACAATTTTGGAGTAAGTTTAAACTCAGGAACATCAAAGTTTCCTTTACTTTTGGTGTCTGCTTCGTCATCTGCTAGTGCAGCTGCTTTAGCAGAAGCTGCTGCATTAGCCACAGGAGCTCCACCTACAAGTTTAGTACCTGTTCCTGTACAGGTTACTACCTACGTGCCACCGTCGAAAGATCAGGATAATGGTGATCAGATGAATAGTCAAAGTAAAAATTCCTATTTCCTAAATGAAAACAATAATACCTCAAATCAACATTTTATACTTTCAGTTATGATGAATGATAATGATGAGAAATCACCTTCAGTGCCGATGGGTCTACGACAGATACCACTTGTTTTAAGTGCTCCCATTTATCCCTCACATTCAAACTCCACTACCACCACGATCACCAAACATAATGATGTTAACAATGCACAACGTGTTAGTCCTACATCGGAATCCAGTTGTATCCCATTTACCATCACATCCAGGGCCAATGTAACCCCCCATCAACCTGCATGACTCATCCACGAGAATGACAGACAACAAGACAAGTAGTCGGTTGTTACTGTTTGAAAAGAAGGTAACTATACACAGTCTACGTTTGTAAATTGATAAAATGTTGTTCTACTCTATGCCCGACATATTATTGTTTTCGAGCGGTGAATGTGTCTTTGTGTGTGTCAATCTGTCTGACTGTTTTATTCACCACCGTTATTATACTCTAACTAGTCGTTTTATGGGAAACAATTTGCCAGCCATATCTTAATGGATATTGTTAACTCTCTTATGTAGGCAACACCTTCTTTTGACCACAGTTTTCTGTTGATTCGTTTATTATTGTCGTGACAACTTTTTGTCTCTATTTTCTTCGTTCATCATCTTCATTAATGTATCCGTTGTAACTAGGAGTCTTTAATCTTATTATTAACAGTAATTTGTTTGTTGTTCCACCTCCACGGTTTTCTTCTCTTTTTCTCCGTTATTCTTGTATTAAAGCTCCAAAAAAAAACAATGCTTGATATTATTATTATTTGTTACGGTTACTGTTTCAACTACTTCTTATGTAATCCCAATCTGCGCCTATTGATACTACTTTTGCACATTTCATTTTATTTCATTATGTCTATCTCTTAATGTTTACGTGTAAGACTGTGTAACGCTACCGTTTGTGCTACCACCCACTCACCTATCATTCGTTATCCTTCTCCTTACCGCCGCCCCCCCCTCCCGTAGGTGCTCGTTACAACAATGAATAACGCTTGTGAACACTTTTTTCATTTATTATTATTTTTTTTTTAACATATATGAGGAAGTTTGAAGTAATTTCAGGCACTCATATTGCATAATCCTCCTAGGCTCTCCTTCATTTTCTTTTTCTGGTTGCACCGATTTTCTTTTATCTTTCTTATGTTTAAAATTGTGTCAGCACTATTTTTTGTGGCTGATACCATGTGTGTGTGTGTGTGTGTGTCTTCTCATTCTGCCCACCATATCTTTTTGCATGTTTTTACATACATTATTAGGTATTGAGAAGTTACACTAGGCCGAAGTAAACTAACTCCTGTTGTTTTTCTCTTTTTCTTTTTTTATGTCTTCGAGGACTATTTTAAGCGAAAAAGTCCTGAGAATGTGAAATTGCATTTCTCTTCTCCTTTCCTGTTTATTTATTTAATTCCCCCGTCTTCTTCTCATTAATGGTTTCTGCTTCACAACCACTAATGAAAAAAGGGGAATTAGGAAACAATATTCTACCCCGGTCCTTTGCTAAACTGCATGCATACTCATTTAAAATAAAAAAAAGAACACCTCTGTCCCACTACTACTGCCTGTTTTTGGTTTGTGCTGTTGTTGTAGGTGTCAAGTGATACTGACTCTTTATGTGTTATTTTCGGTGATTCTTTTCTCTTCTCTTGAACTCTTATTTACTTCTTTTTTGAGGAAAAAACTTAAAAAAAAAATAATTAACTTGTAAGTTGAATCTCTTCTTCTCATTATTATTATTATTATTTTCTTTCATTGAATCGCACGATTCGACTTTCTGTTTCCAGGAGAAACTCTGTATGCCCGTACGTGTGTGTGTGTGTGTAAGTGTGGCAGTATCCTAATTGAAAAAGACTTATAAAAAGGTATTCTACTCTTTCTCTCTGTCTCTGTCTCTCTCTCTTGTATCCTTCTTTTGTGTTTTTAGGTCAAAAATTGTAAACAAAAACAGTGGAGCGAAATAAAATAAAGGAGTGTAAAATCACAAATGAAAGTAAACAACGTTTTGTCTTCTAGGTGGGTAAGTGGCTGAGGGATCAGTGGTCGTCCTATTTCACTCATGACATATGTAGCTTCTTTTATAAAAGGTGGCACCGATTATCGTACTTTGTTCCTGTGTGTGTGGGGGGGGGGATTTGTTGTTTTCTTCTTGTTGTAATCACTTGCATAATTGATTGCGTAGAGGATATTTATCGTTTGAGAGAGGAGTTATTGAATATGCAATAATCGTAAATATGGTATTCCTTGTAACGATTCGATGAAGTTTTCTGTAACACATACTAACCTTAGCTAGCCAAACTCTTGTAATAATAGGATTCGGCTGAAGAACCAGACTATAAGAATGTACTGACATCGGTGTTAAAATATATGACTACAGTCAGTTTTATGTTCCGAACTAGTTCAATTTAGATATTGACAACTATTAGCAAACCATAAACACTTGTGGCTTCAAGATACGAAATCCAACATTGAGTAGATTTAGTGCCTTTTCCAGATGTATCAGGTGATCCCCTCACCTACTGGACAGCTGTCATGTTTGTTTTAATGTTCGTCTGAACTGTTGAGTTTATCGCTTGATAATTTATTGAAATTGTCACTGTTCAGTAGATCTAGTTCAGTTGACCATTAACACACCGACTGGCTTTTAAGCCAAGGCATAACATTTTCCTTCAATTTGTTTATTGTCCAATACTGTTTTACCATAAAGTATTTCCTTGTAAGTAATTTCCGAGTATTAATGAAAACAAAACACGTAGATCAGCGAAGAGTCTCATTTCGGTGAATTCATTTTCTTATCTGTACAATCGCAAATATATATATGTGTTGTTTTGTATGCATGTGTACATAAAGTTTGTCAAACAAAATTACAATTGCTTAAGGTTATTTTGACTAAACAGGTGAATGTTGGTAATACAAGTCAAGAAAATTAAGTGTTAATGAAACTAGGGTAGTAACAAAGGTGATGAGTTGTCACAAACAGCTGTTAAAAGAAGTTATGTAATAATAATATGAGTAGTTTGACGAGTGAGTTTTACTCAGGATGCACATAGAAACAAAGTAGATAATACGAAATTATGTAAGAGATCTAAGTGAATACAAGAATTATAAGCAGTTAAAGAATAGACAAAAAAAGTAGAATTAAGTCATCAAAATCAAAATAAAAAACCCAAAACATTATCATGACAGTAGAAGTGGTTGAGTAATCTTCTTTTGTATGCACAGCTCCGGTTTTTCTATGTGAATGGCCAGAGCTTCAACGATACAAAGGAGACGAAACCGTATGGCCTTTGATAGGTTATTCTTGACTCTGTAGATTACTTTGAAGGAGGCGTTTGTTGAAATGCAATGATCAGTGATAACTAAGTGTTCAGTTATCGCACTCCTTATTGCACCACTATTGCCTTTTCGCAACCATGCTGGCTGGATAGTGTTCTTGAATCCTCTTGGACAGGATGCGCGTCGTAGATATCCCCACTGATTAGTTGACTGGCCTTCATTCTCTTGAAGACGTCTGTGAGCTGCTTCTCAATCTGTTCCGTCTTGTTTCTTTCATTGGAAGGTTGGGAAAATTTTTCTTCATTCGACAATATATCGTTCATTTTCTCGATGTAGTCTCTTCGATTCAGAAGTACTACACCAGCACCCTTGTCGGGCCGAGTAAAATAAGCATCGATAGCATGTAACATTGTTCGATCTGAGGTATACTGCAATCTCACACAATGTTTTTTTTTTCTCTCCGGAAAATGCAGACGAACAGATTGAAGACTGCATGTATTTCATCCGGCCAGTTCATACATTCAACAGAGATTAAAAGCGCTGTAGGTGGAATAATAATAATATAAGATTATTGCCAGTGGAGTGAAATGCTTTTTCTGTCTACTTAATGACTTGTTCACAATAATTTGACAGTCCGATTACTTTCAGCTGAAGAAATTAATTAAGGTCAACTTCTGTAATTAATATTACTGTAGGCTATTGATTTCTGAGGCTTACTTAGGACTTTCATAAACCAATCAACCAATACAGAATCTTCAAACATTGTGTTGCTTTCTACTACAACAAATTCAAAGTATGGAAGAAAAATGAATTCATATGGTTAGTTTATTTCTTCTTTTCCATTAGTGTGTCTAATAGTTATTCAGCGTTAGACTACCACGCACAATTATCAAATTTTAGGTAGGAATAGACTAGCAGAAATAAGTGTATTTGTGTAATATACTGTCTAACGGATGACAATAGTCAGCACATTGTTGATGACGCAGACATTGTCGACATAAATGCCAAATACAAAACACTACTTTATTGTATGAGCTTTTGTATGACTGAATTTTTACTCTTAGTGTGTTTCCAATCAAATTCATTCATTGGTTAATAAGGAACAGCTGATGTGGCACAATTAATTACTTTGCAGTCAATGAAAAGCACTTAATTAATTAGGGTAATTCTGGAAAAAGTAGTAAATATGTGTTAACTGACTTGACTATCAATGAAACAATCATAAGATAGATTTTGATCAACACATAGGAATGGACAACTAACTGATTTAGATAAATCACTAATTTCTATTAGCAGATAACTGTGACGTAAATAGCTTAGCGTTAAATCCTTTGACTTTGAAACTAAGCGATACACGTCCAACAGTTACATAAACTACTGATTCCTAAAGTTACAGATTTGCTAATAGGCAGTAAATCACGGTCAATAAGGCGATTAACTTTTAATAATAAATTCCTATAACTTACTAATTAATAGGTTGTTAAGATACTATGTGTCTGTGCCGAAATTTAATCAGTAGTCAGTCAGTCTATTCAGTTTGTTACAAGTTCCCAAAGAATTAAACTATTCAGTGTGCTAAGTAAAAAGTACCATTGCTTGTTTGACAAGCGTGAAATACTGTTAAATTTTTCTCTGTACGTGTTTCGATAAACTGTAATCTACCAGGATTCGAATAATACTGGTACCCAATATATGGTGCGTATACATGTTATAACTGGCTAGGACAACAGTCCACCTCTAACTTACTGTCTAGATACAGTTTAGGATTAATCTGAGGACCAGACGTTATATCCGATAATGTATGACGTTCCCAGTGGAACATGGGACTTGAAGCTAGAGATTTGAATTTTCATGAGTAGTAGTTTTATTTTCACGGGGTGGGGTTACTGGCCTCATGCCCAGTCCTCTCCTCTTTACGAGTCTTATTATTGGTTTAACGAGGTAAGGGATTGCGTTGGCCCGTGATCGAACTCCGAACCATATGAGACGAGGTGTGGTTGGCAAGCTGTCTATAGCTGTGCCACCGACGCCAGTGCTTTTTTTTGAATAACTCTAATTTGGCTGTTATTTATCGAAGATGTTAATTTGCGTCTTTTACTTGAACCAACAGGTAATTAGTGAATCGTAACACTAACAAACTCTCGTTTTTTTAATAGCTACCAACTCACATTTTCAATCATACTGAGATTGCATAATATTTGAAAATAGTATTTTTCCTTCTTGCGGTTCAAAAATATATGCTTTGTTGATAGTCTTGGAAGCATTTGGTTTTTAGTGTCAGGTTTCCCAACCCTGTGCTCTATTTAGATTTTATCGTTACTAACTGAAAACAATTCTTTGTATTTCGTCTTCTCGATAGAATCGTCTTCGCCCAGTGATGAGAAATAATAATCCTAAGACACAGATTTATCTGGTTACAAGACTAATTACAGGCTGACATCAGCTAGAGAACCATTGGAAAGCCAGCTGGGAGTACTGGACAGCTTTTTGGTCCTAGTTTGGAACTATTCACAGTACGCACCCACCGGGGTTCTAACCTATGACCTTCTAGGTAAGAGGCGAGCTCGTAGACCATTAAGCCACTGGGATTCTGATCCAGTGGTCAGCCCATGAGTCCCAACTCCTGCCAATTCACGATATATATTTAGCGTAACCCCCGGCCAGTGTCCCAGGCGAGTATCCATGCTCTTGTCTGACTTGGTGGATCCTGCTGATTAAGATTTCTTACTAGAAACCCAGGCAACTTTCTGTATACGGCCAGTCACTAGTGAGCATCACATAGGTTGGATCCTTGATTCAAACCCTGATGGGCATGTACTGATGAAGAGTTCAAATTAAGGGCGAAACATTTCTACAATACTCTCAGCTGATTTTCCAATGGTTCTCTAACTGATGTCAGCTTGTGATCAATCTTGTAAGCATCAAATCCTTGCAGACCAAAACTTGACAGCTTTATCTATTTGGTTCTACAGCGAAAGGCTATTAACTCCATTGAGTTATTTGAACATACGACTTTATAACTTCAGATTCCTTGAAGACTAGAAACATGAAATAGAATTTTTCTGGTGTAGTTTGGACAACACTTAACGGTCAAAACAACGATGTCATCAGTAAATAATACTGTATAACATTGTGTGATTTTATGTAATAAATATACTTTATGGTGGAATAATACTCTACTATAGTGCCTAAGTTCTATTCTTTTATCAATGGAGCAACTAATACTTGTTCCATAAGAGATAATTTTTATTATTAAACTTTCTAGTGTATATTGAATTAGTTGTGTTCTCTGAGCTGATCAATATAATTGCGAAGCTTTCATCGTTCATAGTATAAAATGAACTCATTTAAATTCTTTCTAACAAGCCAACCTCAAAACCCACAAGAAAATTCACCCTACCATATTTAAAAATATCTCTGAAATAACAGCTAGAATATTCAGACAGTTTGAAATAGATATAGCACACAAGCCAGGTAGCACAATCCCTTCACATTCGATATTGTGCAAACCAAAAAATCCAACAGGAGAAGTGAATAAAATTAATACCATTTACAAAATAAACTGTATGAACTTCAAAAAACATATCGGCCCTTAGAATCCGAATCCAAGAACACAATTTTTTTTAAATTTTGATTACACCTTGACGCCACTCAGTATTTTCGGTACATGTATGGAATTTTCGGCATGTGATATCGGTAGCCCAAATTTTGCAGGCTGACCATAGATATCCGGTGTATGTCGGCAGGGGATCGAACCCCGGACCATGTGCATGGGCGGCGGAGTCCTAACCACTGTGCCACCGGCGCACAATCGGCTGGAAAAAGACATGATATATATTCTTTTGTATCAATGCATGTGGATACCAATTTGATTGGGGTAAGGAAATGCGGTCAAGGAATTCCTAGAAGCCTGAAAGTCAAGTGAATTAGTAATTAACAAACACACTGCATACTATAGACCAAATTTACTAACTAATAAAAAGTAAATCATAGGAAGAAAAACGTTTGAACTCCAAGTCAATAAAAATGGGCAATAGAAACATAAATTAACAACTAGTCACAGCAATGGTCGCCAGGAGATGCAATTACATCATTCATGGTGAATTTAAGTGAGTTCATTTTATAATAAAACCTACGCTGAAGATGTTGTCTAGAAGGTGGACGACGAAGTCTTTGCAGTTATATTAACCAGCTCAAAGAATACAACTAATTCAATATCATCTACCTGAGTTACAAATCTCCATTATTTCTAGTGGATAGCATAATTTGTTTTCAAAAGGACAAGTGGTAAGTTTCAGTCTGATTTAGAACACTCAAACAACTAGGATAAAAATGAATTCAGGTGGCCATTCAGTCTCAAGTAGAGAAGAATACTAGTTCTGGATTCCTGTCATAGCTAACCCCAGAATATTGTCTGTCTATTTTCCCACCTAGATTCTTTGTAAAGATTTATCGATATAAATGTGATCATACGTTGGTCATATTTTTGATGGCAGTTAACAATGCCAACCTGAACATTTGCTTTTCTCCATTCAGTAGTTGTCATTCAAATGCAGCTGTTCTTCAAGGAGGGTTGACAA